ACATGAATTTAAGAAAAGAGGAATTCGTAAGTATATATGTTGCCTGGTTACTTTATTTACATAAATGGACATTTTAAATTAAAACAAATCACACGTTAATGCTGCGCCCAACACGGAGCTCGAACCCAAGAACCTGAGGTTCAGAGTCTTGAGTGCTACCGACTGAACTAGCCAGGTTGCTGTTGTGAGTGACCCCTGTCTATCTTGTGGTGATTGTGAGTCAAGTGACCCATAGTGTATTTCAGAAAAAAACATGACAATAAGTTAATTTGATTGTTTTCATCATGCGTGCTAAATTGGTCCACAAAAATGCACAATTGTCGTCAAAGCCAATCACAAAATCATCCGCCGCCCAACGTGGGGCTCGAACCCACGACCCTGAGATTAAGAGTCTCATGCTCTACCGACTGAGCTAGCCGGGCGTCTGTGTTGTGTGACCCCTGTCTAACTTGTGGTGATTGTGAGTCATGTCACCCACCGTTCATTTAAAAAAAAACATGACTTTAAGTAAAAAGGAATTCGTAAGTTTATCTACTGTCTGGTTCATTTATCTACATAAATGGACAATTTAATCCCAACAAATCACGACGTTTCGGGCGCAACACAAGCGTCCGTCATCAGGTGGGAAAGCAAGTATGAAACTGCTTTACTAATTATTACTTACGATTTCTCTTGTCTGCTGACTCTGGATGATCTAGTTCTTTCCTGGTTCTCCTTAATTTATCGCCTGCATTTGACACTATCGATCATTCTATTTTCATTCTCTTGGTTCTTTCCCTGAATCCCTGCAGTCACGAGAGCTTTAAATCGAAATTCATTATCTTCTCCTCGAGCACCTTCATAGCCATGTCGGCTGCTCTGACGCCTTTCTAACTTGGTTTAATTATTATTTATCTGATCTGGTGCATTTCGTAGTTATAAACGGTATCTCTTCCTCTAACATATCTCCGCTTTTATGGTGTTCCAAAAGGGTATATTCGAGGTCCGCTTCTATTCACGATACTGTATCTTCTTCCCTTCAGCAAACTCATCTCCAGTTTGGGTATAAAACACAATTTCTATGCAGACATATATATATCAGTTTCAGTCAATCTGATTTCAATCCAACTTCCACTCTGTCTTCCTGTCTGACCGCAGTTTCTGACTGACTCGCAGAACATTTTCTTCAATTGAATAGCAGTAAAACTGAAGTTCTCTTAGTTGGGAAAAAAAATCACTTACCTTTAAGGTCCGTCACTCCACTGTACATCTGCTTGACTGATCTTCATAACAGTCAACAGGCACGGAATCTTGGTTTCATTCTTGACTCTATCCTCTCCTTTTATTCTCACTTTTTCTTTATGTGCAAAACTGCTGTTTAAATTTATCTTAGTAATATTTCCCGTATCCGTAACTGTCTCTCCGATATGGCTGCAGAAACAATAATTCATGCATGTGTTACCTCCAGGCTAGATTATTGCAATTCTCTGTTATATGGTCTTCCCTTGTCTCTCGTCCAACGTGTACAATATGTGCAGAATGCAACTACAAAAGTGCTTATACCTGTAAGCGTCATCATATTACACCCATCTTACGATCCCTCCACTGGCTACCTATTCAGTCCAGAACAACTTTCAAGATTGCACTTACCGTTTATAAAGTTATTCATGGGCTAGCCCCTGACTATCTTCCCACTCTCATTTTATTTTATTCCCTTCCGCTTCAGTCGAGGTTTGCTGTCCATCCCAAAAATTTAAGACAACTCGATTGGTGGACGAGCGTTCACATGTGCAGCCCCCACAGTCTGGCACACTCTCCTACTACACGTCGGACAAATCATTTAACGTATTCAAATCTGAACTAAATGCCTATTTATTTGTCCCCGCCTGACGCTGGAGAATAGGCATTTACATTAATGTCCAACTGGCTCGTAAACTTTTGGGCCACTCCACCACCCCTCCAGTGAAGCTTCTCCAAAATCCAGCGAAATGTTGGCTTTGCGGTCTGGGGTATGCAGATAGAACGGATTTATTTATTTTTTCTCCGCAATTATGTATATTGTTACGTGCATTTTCTCGTTCTTGATGTATTATTTGCTAAGTAGTGGGGTTTAATTTTTGTTTGTATAATGTGCAGCGTTGTGGGATGCTATATCCAATGAAAGCAAATCACAAAACTATTCTGCGCCCAACGTGGGGCTCGAACCCACGACCCTGAAATTAAGAGTCTCATGCTCTACCGACTGAGCTAGCCGGGCGTCTGTGATGTGTGGCCCCTGTCAAACTTGGGGTGAATGTGAGTCATGTCACTCACCGTACATTGAAAAGGAAACATGAATTTAAGAAAAAAGAAATTCGTAAGTTTATATACTGCCTGGTTACTTTATCTATATAAATGGACATGTTAAATCCAAACAAATCACACGTTGTTCCTGCACTCGACATGGGACTCGAACCCACTGACCCTGAGATTAAGAGTGTCATGCTCTACCGACTGAACTTGCCAGGCTGCTGTTGTGAGTGACCCCAGTCTAACTTGGGGTGATTGTGAATCAAGTGACCCACCGTGTATTTCAGGAAATACCATGACAATAAGTAAAAGGTGATTCGTTTGTTTTCATCATGCGCTCTAAATTGATCCACAGAAATGCACAATTGTCGTCAAAGCAATTCACAAAACTAATCTGCGCCTAACGTGGGGCTCGAACCCACGACCCTGAGATTAAGAGTCTCATGCTCTACCGACTGAGCTAGCCGGGCGTCTGTGGTGTGTGACCCCTGTCTAACTTGTGGTGATTGTGAGTCATGTCACCCACCGTTCATTTAAAAAAAAACATGACTTTAAGTAAAAAGGAATTCGTAAGTTTATCTACTGTCTGGTTCATTTATCTACATAAATGGACAATTTAACCCCAACAAATCACGACGTTTCGGGCGCAACACAAGCGTCTGTCATCAGGTGGGAAAGCAAGTATGAAACTGCTTTACTAATTATTACTTACGATTTCTCTTGTCTGCTGACTCTGGATCTAGTTCTTTCCTGGTTCTCCTTAATTTATCGCCTGCATTTGACACTATCGATCATTCTATTTTCATTCTCTTGGTTCTTTCCCTGAATCCCTGCAGTCACGAGAGCTTTAAATCGAAATTCATTATCTTCTCCTCGAGCACCTTCATAGCCATGTCGGCTGCTCTGACGCCTTTCTAACTTGGTTTAATTATTATTTATCTGATCTGGTGTATTTCGTAGTTATAAACGGTATCTCTTCCTCTGACATATCTCTGCTTTTTTGGTGTTCCAAAAGGGTATATTCGAGGTCCACTTCTATTCACGATACTGTATCTTCTTCCCTTCGGCAAACTCATCTCCAGTTTGGGTATAAAACACAATTTCTATGCAGACATATATATCAGTTTAAGTCAATCTGATTTCAATCCAACTTCCACTCTGTCTTCCTGTCTGACCGCAGTTTCTGACTGACTCGCAGAACATTTTCTTCAAATGAAAAACAGTAAAACTGAAGTTCTCTTAAATTTTGATTTAAAGCTTTCGTGACTGCAGTAATTCATATTCTTAGTTTTTTCGGTAAAGTCACGTTGAAGAGAAACAACAGAATAACACCTGATGATGACCGTTTGAGTTATGGTCGAAACGTCGTGAGAATTTTTTATTGTTTTATATATATTTTGTTATTCTGTTGTTTCTCTTCAACGTGACTTTACCGAAAAAACTAAGAATATAAAGTTCTCTTAGTTGGGAAAAAATCACTTACCTTTAACGTCCGTCACTCCACTGTACGTCTGCTTGACTGATCTTCATAACAGTCAACAGGCACGGAATCTTGGTTTCATTCTTGACTCTATCCTCTCCTTTTATTCTCACTTTTTCTTTATGTGCAAAACTGCTGTTTAAATTTATCTTAGTAATATTTCCCGTATCCGTAACTGTCTCTCCGATATGGCTGCAGAAACAATAATTAATGCATGTGTTACCTCCAGGCTAGATTATCGCAATTCTCTGTTATATGGTCTTCCCTTGTCTCTCGTCCAACGTGTACAATATGTGCAGAATGCAACTACAAAAGTGCTCATACCTGTAAGCGTCATCATATTACACCCATCTTACGATCCCTCCACTGGCTACCTATTCAGTACAGAACAACTTTCAAGATTGCACTTACCCTTTATAAAGTTATTCATGGGCTAGCTCCTGACTATCTTCCCACTCTCATTTTATTTTATTCCCTTCCGCTTCAGTCGAGGTTTGCTGTCCATCCCAAAAATGTAAGACATCTCGATTGGTGGACGAGCGTTCACATGTGCAGCCCCCACAGTCTGGCACACTCTCCTACTACACGTCCGACAAATCATTTAACGTATTCAAATCTGAACTAAATGCCTATTTATTTGTCCTCGCCTGACGCTGGAGAATAGGCATTTACATTAATGTCCAACTGGCTCGTAAACTTTTGGGCCACTCCACCACCCCTCCAGTGAAGGTTCTCCAAAATCCGGTCTGGGATTTTTAATTATGTTTATTGTTACGTGCATTTTTTCGTTATTTATTATTTGCTAAGTATTGGGGTTTTATTTTTGTTTGTATAATAGGATGCTATATCCAATGAAAGCAAATCACAAAACTATTCTGCGCCCAACGTGGGGCTCGAACCCACGACCCTGAGATTAAGAGTCTCATGCTCTACCGACTGAGCTAGCCGGGCTGCTGTAATGCCTCTCTCCCACTTCGAGTATTGGGAGTACAATGGGTAGGTGGGGGGAGAGGGGGGGATGATGGGGGAGGGGGATAATGGGGGAGGTGGGTAGGAGGGGTGGGTAGGAGGGGAGGGGTAGGAGGGGGGGGGGTAGGAGGGGGAGGGAGGGGTAGGAGGGAGGGGTAGGAGGGGAGGGGTAGGAGTGGGAGTAGGAGGGGGGGGAAGGAGGAGGGGGAGGGAGGGAGGGGGAGGAGGGGTGGGTAGCAGGGGGAGGTAAGAGGGAGGGATGGAGGGAGGGGTCTGTAGTTACGCGTGGTGGGGGCGCGGCCCAGGCCCCGCGTTATCTTCCCCCGTGCGGCGGCGGCGTCGTCGTCGTCAGGGCCCTGGTGACCGCTTCCCCTCTCCTCCCGCACGGCGCCCCAGGCTCCTAGCTGCTGAAGCCCGAGTCGCGCTGTCTGTCCGCGGCGTTTCGCCGCCGGCACCAAGTGCAGGTACCCCGCGGGGCGAGTTTACTTGGTGCCCGCGTCCTGTAAAAGACGTCGATGCCGCGGGGACACGGCGTGACCGCCGTCGCCTCTGTGTGTGTACGTCCACTCGGCCTCAAACCACCGCCCGGTGCGGTGTGTCGTAGACGTCGCCACGAGGAAGACAAAGGCGGCCGTGCGTGGTGCTGGCCTACACACAACCCACGTGTGCCGCAGTGCCGGCCTTAATCGGCGCTGCTACTCGCGAACAGCACTTGCCCCAGCAGCCTGTCGCAGGCTATACGGGGGATCTTTACGTGTGCGCGTTATGATTTCTGTGGCATTGTAGTTATATGTGTGTGTGGGGAGCGGTGGCGTTGTGGTTAGCGCTACGAACCCGGCGACCCGAGTTCGATTCCCGCCCACGGTTTATCTGAACCCTGTTCCGGGTCGCCCCTAGGTCGACTCAGCCTCAAATGAGCACCCAGGCGTGTGCCGTGCCGGCCTTCACAGGTGCTGGCACAGTCTGTCACAGGCTTTGTCTTGGGAGTTTGTGTGTGTGTGGTGTGCGAGGGTTCGTGTCTCAAGGTGCACATGGCCTGGCACGAGCGTCGTGGTTCACGTCACCGCCACTTAGTGGTGAATGGCGGTCGTTGTTGTCGTTGTTGTCGTTGTTGTTGTCGTCGTTGTTGTTGCGTCTAGACAAATGAGCCACTTGGGTTGTTGCGAGAGACCAATTCACTCTACTCGCTCAACTCTCTCGCGGAGTCGCGAGTTCATGCTCTCGTTTTCAAACCCAGGAAGGCATCGTCGAGGCTTGAGACTCCGCTCAAGGAAGGTGCTGCCAAATTGTTTTGTAGTAAGTTGTGGGTGGGTGGCGGAGAGACTGGAGGATATGGGGAGAGAACATCGCCGCACACAAAGGCACCCCCCCTAGACGGCTATCGAACACATCATTACCCCTCGGTTGTTGCGGAGCAATCTTAACAGCTTGCGCTGTCAGCCTGGCCAGCCCTTGCTGCTGCTATTGCTGCCTGTCTCGTCAATGCCGTGATGCTGTGATTGATCCCCCCCCCCCCCCTCAGCTTGTGTTTGAGATAGTCCCGTATACACGAGGATTGTTATTAAACATCGCGGATAAAATCGATTCTTCCACACGCAATGATTCGGTACTGGATTATCGACGTTGAAGAATGGAGTGGTTACGCGCAAGCTGCTGCCTGCACCAGAGCAACAGATACGTTATCGCTTAAGTAAACTATTTAGTGATACCGCCTAGATCGCGCTCCACAGGAGCAACACAATGCAACGCCTTTGTCAATGACACGGCCATAAAAAATAAAATATATTAAAAGGCGGCGTTTCGGACAGTGGACCTTCTTGTGCCGTGAATAAGGGACATTTGCTCCAAAGGTAGTGTCGGTGACGAATGTATTTTATTTTTTTAATATCTATTGAGTGCCCATACGTACAGTTAGGTCGTGTCTCCAACTACCCCACGTCAGTGGACCGAAGCTTCGTGACAGAAACGAAATGAACGCGACTTGCGACTTGCCCCAGTCACTAACTCTACAAAGTGTCCTTTCGAATTTGAACGAGGGTTCAAACTCGTGTGGGGTCATATAGCCCCATAAACTCTCACATCCTCTTTACAAGTCTCGTCGCATTCCTTGCAAAACTGCTCTCTGTGTGTACAGGTCTCCGTATAAAACTGCTCTCTGTGTGTACAGGTCTCCGTATAAAACTGCTGTGTGTACAGGTCTCCGTGTAAAACTGTTGTGTGTACAGGTCTCCGTGTAAAACTGCTGTGTGTACATGTCTCTGTATAAAACTGCTCTCTGTGTGTACAGGTCTCCGTATAAAACTGCTCTCAGTGTGTACAGGTCTCCGTATAAAACTGCTGTGTGTACAGGTCTCCCTATAAAACTGCTCTCAGTGTGTACAGGTCTCCGTATAAAACTGCTGTGTGTACAGGTCTCCGTATAAAACTGCTCTCTGTGTCTACAGGTCTCCGTATAAAACTGCTGTGTGTACAGGTCTCCGTGTAAAACTGTTGTGTGTACAGGTCTCCGTGTAAAACTGCTGTGTGTACATGTCTCCGTATAAAACTGCTGTGTGTACAGGTCTCCCTATAAAACTGCTCTCTGTGTGTACAGGTCTCCGTTTAAAACTGCTCTCTGTGTGTGCAGGTCTCCGTATAAAACTGCTCTCAGTGTGTACAGGTCTCCGTATAAAACTGCTGTGTGTACAGGTCTCCCTATAAAACTGCTCTCAGTGTGTACAGGTCTCCGTATAAAACTGCTGTGTGTACAGGTCTCCGTATAAAACTGCTCTGTGTGTACAGGTCTCCGTGTAAAACTGCTCTGTGTGTACAGGTCTCCGTATAAAACTGCTCTCTGTGTGTACAGGTCTCCCTATAAAACTGCGGCTTTGTTCTGTACGCTTAGTTCCATTTGAACTATTGCGGTGTAAACCAAGATTTTGGCCTTAATGATGTCTTTTTTTATGCAAATGTAATTTTGCTTTTGATATTACTTAAAGGTATTATGCACAGCAAAACATAAACCAATGGTAAAATTTTGCTTGCAAGCCTGCACATTTTTATGGAAAAAACTAAATCTGGAAATATGGTAAATTAGGTGACATGCAAATGTAACATAGTATTGTTATTTTGTTCACGAGTTGATGACCGCCTTGCAGCTGGAATCCAGGATCTCAACGCGGTGTTTGGTTTTAGGTTGGGTTCACACAGGATTTTAGACTTTTATTTAGGTTGGCGAACGTCGCATTGGGGTTAGGTGGTATTTGTGTCTTCGCTTTTTAAAATCATCTCTGGGAATACAACTTGAAATATTCTTAATCGATGGATGATTTTAAAGTTCCTAGAGTCCTTTAGATCTTGCCCATTTTGCAACACCTCAAACCCTGGTTGGTTTACCGTTGGCTGCGATTGCCGCTGGTTATTTTACCGATGAGCAAAATTCAACCTTGGGAATATTGTCCCAGGTTGGCATTACACCCTTGCGATGTCACTTGACACTTTAATAGCAGTTACTTACGTTAAGCCATCCTGTGTTAACCCATCATTATCCCTCTTAAGTCTAAGCCACTTGGCCACCTTACAGTGCAGTACTAGGTTGCTTGGCTGATGCACACATTATCACAAAGCCTCAACACGGAGTGTTTCCAGTAGTAAAAGACAATGAAGCAAGTTCAGTCACCAATTTTTAATTATTATAAAGGAAGGTGTCTCTTTTCACCTGCACGTCTGATGGAGGAAGTGGAATAATGAAAGCTTTCACAATGTTTTAGAGTTGAGACAATTGGCAGTCCAGCGAGAGTCATGCTTTATCTTTGATGAAATAAACAAACTCACCTAAAAGGCTCTTGCAGTACTTTGGCCTTGAAATCGCCTTGAAAATGTCACCTTTACCGCCTTCGTGTGCGACTGCAAGATAATTCTTGCATGCAAAAATTGCACGCTCATTTAACCATGCATGCAAAATGACAAAAAAACCTGCTGAGCAACTTGGTGTAACACCATAGGATGTGTTTTTAAACATTTTTTTCGTATTTTTTTCTCAAAAGTTCCCTTTCGTAACTTGAACAAAGCATTGCATCATTCCACGTAGCAAACAGCCCGCAAAAGGTGATACAATATAACTATTCCTGACATCTGTTTAAATAACTCCTGGTCCTCACTATGGGTGCTGCACTTTTATATATTTCTTTTTATTATAAGTGCTGGAATATTTCGCAATTGAAGTTTTATAATATGATTGAATATTATCTTACTTCATGCAGTGCCTGGTGACCATGAACTGTTGTGCTTCACTTGACAGCCCAGTTTAACCACATGCCCTCAGCGATTCAAGCTCGCTGCTCTGACCCCTGAAGCACTTGGCCATCCCACCAAGTGCGACCCTTTTGAACAAGTTAACATTAAGTGGTTTGCACAATGGTCAAAGGCATTTCTATTTGGTTGTCTTTGCTCCGATATCTATCTTCTTCATTGTTGTGCTTGTTTTTGTTCGATTGCTTTTTATCATTTTGGTGACCCCATGTCACTTGCATGTGAAACCATCCTCGTATCTTGAGTTTCCACCTGGATAAACAAAATAAACTTGCGGTGTAAAATTCGCGTTTGTTTGTAAGTTGCTGTGCGAGTTGAGGTTTTTAAAACACGATCTTGTTTTTTTCTACTTTGCCCATCAGCTTGAAGGCATGACATCGTTCCCAGTGTTCCTCGTGTCTGCGAGCACCGTCTGGTGGTCACTGCTCTACTTCGTCCTCTACCGCCTTAACCCATCGCACGGCAAAGAGTGGAACTGCCGACTCGTCACCCTACTTCACGGGTGCCTCATCGTTCCACTGTCAGCTTACATCGGCTTCATAGCAGGCCCTTGGCCATTTACGCATCCAGGTAGGATGTGATGCTATCTTTTTTTTAAAGTATGCACATATCAACAGTCGAGGTTCATTTTTTGTATGTATGCACTTATGTATAACCATAGTAATTAAAATGTAAAACGTCATTATAGTGTGAAATAAATGAAAAATGTTATTGGTCTGTCTTGTACATTCTGCCTGGGTTTTCCTGCTGCCCTAGCTACTTCACGTTGTGCATGTTCATTCTGTCTTGTTTTTATTGTACTGTCTGTAGCGGTTTTTACTTTAGGTTGTGGTGTATTCCTGTCGCCTGTTAAATATGTTCTGGCTCTTCGAGTACAGATGGGACCTGTATAACATGTCTCACTTGCATTTATGGTCTCGTGTATATTGTGCATCTTGTGCATTGGTGTCTGTCCTGTAGTGTAATGTGATCTAGAATGTACACCTCGATTTAAAGCTTTCGTGACGGCAAGGATTCATCTTCTTTGGTTCTTCCGGTAAAGTCAAGTAGAATGAGAATAAAATAAAAAAATAACACAATAAAATTCTCACGACGTTTCGGCCACAACTCGAGACGGCCGCTTGCGTTGTGGCCGAAACGTCGTGAGAATTTTATTGTGTTATTTTATTATTTTCTTTTCTAGATTTGAAGCTTTATTATTCTCATTCTACGTGACTTTACCGAAAGAACCAAAGAAAATGTACACCTCATTGTTACTACCACAGTTGTTTTGACATTTTCATCTCCACAACATCTAACGCATCAGCCACTTCCTCACTCCAGCATCAGCTACTTCCTCACACAAGCAGCTGCTGAGACCCCCATTTATGCCTTTACCACCCCTCTGACTTGACAACTGCAACTATTCCCCTCTATGGCCTCACCAAATCCCTCGCCTCCAGACACCACGATCCAATATATCACTGCCAGGTGAGAAATCGCCCACAGCCGTACACAAACCCACAATACCTCACCGCTATAATATGTTCAGTGGCTCCAAATCCAGTCTTTAAAATCTTCAAAATCGCTCCCCATCTTCATGATCATTCACGAACCTGTTCCTGTCTAGCTCGCCCTCTCATCTCACTTTACCCCCTGTGCCTCCAGTAGCCAAGGCTGTGTCAAAAGTCCAATTCTCATCCTTAATTGTGAGGTTGCACCTTCTCTGCCACCCCTATAATCTTGAACTCCCTCCACCAACTGTCTACCTTGTTGACTTGCTACCCATGTTCAAACTCCGGATGAAGACCTTCTTGCCTTCCTCTGCCAATGACTTACTGCTTTTCTCTAAAACATTTAAGTATAGCCACTTCCGTTTTCCCCATAATGCACATCGAAATTTTTCTAAGGTATCTCTAGATGCAGTTGCCATTATATCATCTATTAATCCAAATTCAGTAATGCTGCATACATGTGCAATTATGGTACCGTGTTTAACACATAACTTACATTTACAGTGGGCACTGATATGATATTTACACGGCCGTAAAGTGCACATAGCCTGGCACAAGCACCGTGGTGACGTCACCGTCACTTAGCGTCAAATGGAGGTTGTTATTGTTATGATGTTTATTAATACAATGATCGATCTGAGAGACCTTTGGACTATCTTGTGGTCCTCAGACACCATGCCATTCTTATGATTCTTTGGATTTTTTCACATTTTTTATTGTTTTGGGATTCCATCTCAATTAGATACAAAGTGTGCTTTACTTTAATAACATTTACAAAGCTGTTCCAGCTGTGCTGTAGCAGGACAGACAAATATGGGAAGGTTTTGACTTACATGTCTATCCGGGGTTCAGCTTAGCCCACTGTCCTCCTGATCTCAGTGAAATTAATACCACTTGGTGGGAAGTTAATAGTGATGGCCCTATGGAAATATGTATCCTTGCCATAGAAATGTGGAATTTCCATCACTGGCTCAGGATCCCTGGTAGAGATTAACACTGCCACACAGACATTTTACATTACTGATACTGGTAGGAACGAAGTTGTAAACTGAGTGTACCTGCCTGCAATAGATTAATGTGTCCGTCCGTCCGTCCCCTTTCAATACTTTAACGAAGTGAAATCTCGTGCTGTTGGGTGTAAAATCAGCAATAGACAGCGCAGAGACTTGTCCTATCAGCCCACCCTGCAGGGACCTGTTATTAATCATCATATCACAGATTGGGTTGGGTTAGTAAGTGCATTGTAACTAGGAGTCTTCTGTCGTGTACGAACGTGCATACGTCATTGTTACAAACAAAGTAGCCATGAAATGTGATTGCATTTTGTTTTAACTTTCTACTTAAAGTACAGTCTAGAGTTACATTACATAATGTAATTTACTTGGACAGTGCATTGCCACCAATGGAATGTGTGTACATATTGCCATATTAATGTAAACAATTGAATAGTATTTCACATAATGAACCAGGTATGTAAGAGTGGCATTGATTGTTAATTTTGATTATTGTATCAAGTGTATGAAGCAGTTGTAACTGTATTCTCCAGATGATAGTGTAGTTTAGAATGCGGTAGGTGTTCCCATGTGACCTTATTTGTACACTTATTGACATTGGCACAAGTTTGTGATGCATATTATATAACCTGGAGAATACGGTACTCTTTTGAACGTGCTGTATGGAATCTGACTTGTATATGTGTATTCTTTGTTTTTTTCAGGTGGCCCTAATTCAGAGCTGCAAGTTTTTGCCTTGTCCTTTTGTCTGGGATACTTCATATTTGATTTATTGTGGTGTGTCTCATATGGAAATGAAAGCATTGTAATGCTTGCACACCACATAATAAGCATTTTAGGACTGGTAGGATGCTTGTTCCTGGGTGTATCTGCAACAGAGACAAATGGTGTTATATTTGGGAGTGAAATTACCAACCCTCTACTCCAACTCCGCTGGTTTCTTCGTAAAATGGGACGGTACGTACAGTGTTGTGAAATTATTTTCTGATATTTTAATAAGAGTTGGTAAAATAATGATGAAAGCCATGTTGTTGTTTTCCACATTTTTTTCCCAAACAGTTCTGCGGAACTGAATTTCCCCCCGTGTTTAGAGTCGAGAGGTTGCGTTAGCAGGAGGGTACATTTGGCTAGGGACAGTTATGGATTAAGCTATTAGCCTCCAAATAAGTCTGTGGACACGAACTGAACAGTTATGTAGGTATAACGTCTATCTAAGTACCTTGTCTGAGGGGGAGTCGTGGTGCAGTGGTTCGCAGCCTGTGTTATCAATCTGGCTACGCATGTTCGATTCCCATCCATGGGTAACATCTGTTTCAAGCATTCCATCAGCAAATACTGGGGCCGCCACTTCACCAACTGGTTTATCCTTAACTCTTCAGGTTAAAAGCCTAGCACATATAAGGAAACGTGTAATCCACAGACTGTATCTCGAGAGAGAGAAACATGTTCCACAAAGCCTGCAAAATGTTAAATTAATTCCATATAGAAACGTTGACATGTACAAATACTATTCATTTATAAAGCAAGACATTTTCACTGGAATTCATTGTTATTTTATTAAATGTTGCCATTGTGTATGCAGGTATGAGGACACCACCCTTGGCTTGTGCATCGACGCCACGTTTGTTATGTTGTTCTTTTGCGTCCGAATGGGAGTTGGCACTATCCTCCTTGTCTGTGTACTGCGATCACCCACACCTATACTCGTAATGAAGATCAGTGGTGTGGGAATGTACACCATTTCCTGGCTGTTCATGGTCAACATTTCCAAATATGTAATGCGAAGATATCGAAAACTCAAACAGGCATGCAAACCTTGCAATGTCATTTCATCATCAAGTCCTGCACAAGAAGACAGTGAAATTGAAACTGCTGAAAATGGACTTTCTTCCAACCCTGATGTTTACAAGAAACATAATTGAAGGGCATAATATAGGTTTTGTATTTTATTAAAAAAAAGTATTTTCTTGCCTTTAGTATTTTAAACGTAATATATTTTCAATGCTGTGTTCAAATATTAATGAGGTTATAAATGGTAATGTATGTACAAATACAATATAACTTAAATTTTGATTTAAAGCTTTCTTGACTGCAGTGATTCATATTCTTGGTTCTTTCGGTAAAGTCATGTTGAAGGGAAACAATAAAATAATAAAATATATATAAAACAAGAAAATTCTCACGACGTTTCGACTGTAACACAAACAGTCATCAGGTGTGAAAAAACCAACGTCAAGAAGCATTTGAAAGAAGTGGCGGTTTGTATTTAATTAATTATTTTCAAACTTATATTTTTTTATTTTTAAACGGTGTTTGTATTTATTTTTAAAAACGTTAGCACCACGGATAGCGATTTGACTGTTTAGAAGGAAAATAGGAGGGGGGAGACGAAAATTTAATGTATGCTGTATGAAAGCCACCATAAGCATGAACAATCAAGACCCGAAATGGTTTATCAAATCCTTACAATGATTGCTAGGCCAGAATCCATCTTCTCGGTTGAAATTGTTTCTGTGTTTGTATATGTGGATAGCTTCATGAACGAATCTCTCATGGTAGCCCGATGGCTTGCAAAGAACCTGTCTTGGAGAAGTCAATGTCATGTGAGCCTACTGAATTATAACAGTGATCTGCCACGGCCGAGGTGTTGGTCCTACCGTGTTTTAGGTCTGCTTTTTGTTCACGAATGCGGTCCGAGACATGTCGTTTGGTTTCTCCAATGTAACTACTACCACAGAGGCAACTTAGTTTGTAGACAAAAAAAAACACCGCTTAAAAATAAATAAATACGTCGCTGGTAAATAAATTAATAAATACAAACCGCCACTTATTTCAAATGCTTCTTGCCGTTGGTTTTTTCACACCTGATGATGACTGTTTGTGTTACAGTCAAAACGTCGTGAGAATTTTATTTTTTATATATATTTTATTATTTAGTTCCCCTTAAACGTGACTTTACCGAAAGAACCAAGAATATAATATAACTTAAATAAAAATTAAACTTAAGTTGTAATTTTGACCAGAAGGAACATAGGATCTGTGGTATTGATGTCACTGTACAACCTATGAACTTTGACATGTTATAAAAACTGACCAAAAATTTATTATGCACTATATTTAGAGTTTGCAAAAAAATATTAAATGGTTGTTGCTATGTGTCCCACGCCGTTCCTTCAGCTGCTGTGAAATAGTATTTAAGAGGAATGTATGAATGACTAGCCAACTGCATACCTGTCAACACTTTATCAGTGCCTTATTAGAGACCAATTCAGACCTTATTGGTCACCCCTTGCCCTTATAAATGTCAAATGTTCACCCAACAAAGTCGCATCACAAGGGAGAAAGACAACAAATGTGCGCAAATGTCCGGCTGTACTCCGAAAGGACCTGAAAACTCAATTTCCCTGTACAAGAATATGGGTAAACCGTATGGATTGACAGGGTATGCAACTGTGCTAAAACGTAGGTGTGGGAATGGATGGGTATGCTGCACTAGTTAACTGCACTCGAGGACATTTAATTTCATGCTGAAAAATTTGCCATGTGTGTAAATAAAAAATTGCAGCAGGCTGTGAAATGCATCTGCATGTCATTCACAAAACATGTATGCATCGAAAGAACCCAGCAGATGTATGCATCTGTATATTGTGCATGCTTTGCTAGTTACATACTTCTTGATGTAGGGTTTGTTAATGTGCAAAAACATGCACAAAGCTCAAGATAATGAAGCGTTTTGCAGATGGTGGAGACTAAGTCTTAAAATTAGTTTTGCAATCTGCTGCTGGATGAAGGCCTTCCCACTCCATGTCGGTCGTGAGCTTTGACCATTGTCGGTCAAGTGTGCGTTGAAGGATTGCAACTCGCCACTCATGATAGCCGTGACCAGGAATTTTACTCCGGTTGTCGGACACATGCAGTGTGCTAACCACTGTCCACTACTAGTCTTAAGTAACAATCCCACCTATATGTTTAAGTTATTGTACCCGATTAACATTACAATGACTGGCGAGATGTTAACTACCTCGCTGGGTATACAGGTGGTGGGTTCGACCCCGACCGCTGATGCCTGCTGTATATTTAGAGTTTGCGTGTCTCGCTCCCCATGGTCGTGTCGATTTTTCCATGAGCCTCCGATTTTTCGCTCCACATTTTGTATCTACATCCCGCGCTTATTGTATTTGGCTGTTATAAATATCCACATCATGATAAGCCACTTTGTTGAGCTGTCATTTGTGATAGCCAGGTCGCTTTTGAAAAACAAGGCAATTAGCTCAGTGGGGCCCCTTACCTGGCAAAATACAAAGTTTAGTTTAAATCATTCCCATGACAAATTATGAATACCAAACCATTAGCTTAACACATGCTTTTGCGACCAGTATCATCCATAACACAGGTTTTATTGGTTAGATCGCGTATGTGTCGTTAAATCCGCCACCACCCGATACAGCCAATTAGTAGTAAGGTTTGTCACGTAAACAGAACATGCCAATTCGTCACTAGTACAGCACACAGTTGTGTTGGAGAGCAAATCCACAACATTTACAACCTGAGTACGACGTTTCGCCAGTAATCACAACCGGCACCATCAGGAGGCAGCCAGATTTGGGGGGAAAATCCTCAACAACAAAAAAAACGCCGCATATTACAAAACCATTGTTGATTTAAGGCTTTCGTGACTGCAGGAATTCATACTCTTTGGGGTCGTATTTTATTACTTAATTTATTTCCTACCTACGTGACTTTACCGAAAGAAACCAAAAAGTATGAAAACCATTGTTGTGTTTAACACGTGTAAATCGATTAGCGAGTATCGATTAACATCGTGAATCTCTTCTGGATCGTTACGCGAGAGTCCAGCGCGGCGACGAATCGGCAAGAATCGACTCGATAATTTGGTGAGACGAGAATCGATTCTTCGCACGTCAGGCTCGGGTGCTGGTTCCGGGGCCCGCAGGCGGCCGCTCTCCCCCCCGCCCCCCCCCCATCTGGAACGAGGTCGCTGTTGGTGCGGGTGGCTTCAGAGACGACGACGAGGAGGAGGAGGTTGGAGGCTCGCTGTGTTCGCTGCGAAGATGTCGACCACGCAGATCAAAGAGGAGAACACCGCCTTCGTCCCGTTAATCCACGACATCATGAAGAGGTGCGGGCCCCCTCCCCCCCCACCGTGTTTGAGGGAGGCGGCATCGCGGGCTGCACATCTCCAGTTTAGTAGGCCGCGGGGCTCGTATAACAGATTACTGTGCACTCTACATCAAGAATAACAATAATAATCTCGCGCATAATGCATGTTGTTCTTGGGTAGGATCGCGTAAGTATAAAGGCGTCGTTAAATCCACCACCACCACCAGCCCGACGCAGCCAATTGGTACGCTTTTGTCACGCTACCAACGTGCCAGTTACTGCTTCAGCACGCCCGGGATGTTGGAGGGTCAAGTCACAATCGTGAAAGCTTTACTCGCTGTCTTTGTGGTGGGCTCACGACACATTCACGCGATGTAACCCGGCAAACCAGTTATCATGGATCATATTTGGTCGCGAAAGCCTACGTGTTAAAATAATGTCGTACTGTGTTTATCCGGGAAAGCGTCGCGTGAATTGTTAGAAAAAAAGTTTAAAATACGGGATCGGAAAAACAGCCATTGAGAAGGGAACGTCAAAGCGGTCGAGATCGGAAGCAATGCGGTTTGAAGAGGCGTTTATTGAAAGCCTTTGTGTCTGTTTATATACGGTGCTTTATGTTGTTGTTTTGGTAGCATGGAGAGAGACAACCAAGAGGTGCAGCAGGAGCTGAGTCGGCTGAAATCGCGGATTCAGGAGCTGCGCGAGACTGTCGCTGTGATGCCGGGAATCGACCTGAGCCCAGAGGAGCAACACAGAAGGCTGCAACACCTCCGTGAACAAGTCCACATAAAGAACCAGCTGCTGCAGAAATACAAAACCCTCTGCATATTTGATAATTCTAAGTGACTTCATCTCGTCCAAGTATTAGGTCCAGTCCAGAAGAGGAACCGGGGAAAGCTCCAGAATTATTGCTAAGAGGTCCGCATAAAGAACCAGCTGCTGCAGAAATTCAAACCCCCCTTGCATATTTGATAACGCTAAAAGACTTACAGTTTTCCCTGCAGGAAAAAAAAAACTGGACAATATTGCCTTACATGACTTTGAAATGGCAAGATTTGTGAAGGCGATGCAGATGTTGGCTGACTGACGCCTAGCTTGTTAATGTAGTTGGTTATCGAAAGATGTTTATTTTGTACATCGTGAGTAACTTGTGTAAATAAAGATGATATAAGTTAACGTTCACATGAGTTTTATGTTCACCTTTAGACTTGAGGATCTGCCTCTATGGCAAGTTTGTTGACGAATGGGTATTCACACGTCCCTTGTGTTTTATTACTCAACTTTTGAGTTGTGGCCTAAACAAACAAAATGGCTCATTGGTTTTTTCGGTAAAGTCACGTATGTAGAAATGCCATAAAATTATATTAAAATAAATCAATCACGACGTTTCGACCGCAACACAAGCAATCTTCATCAGGTGTAAAAAACAAATAGCACATAGGGTGACATCAACGCAACACATAGAGAGCGTTAAACTGCACGGAGGTAAAAACAAGAAGATGAGAGACAAGCATTCAACAAATCAAAAAAAATTACGTGATGCAAAACCAGTCGGCCAGCGACACAGACACATGCCTGGCAGACCACGAATTTCAGAAGAGTGCTAAATTTCGTGTTCATCCTCTGGGTTGAACATACCAGCATAGACAGTGAACAAATACGAGGTATGAGATAGCAGAAATACATATACAGGAACACAAGAGGTAAGAAGAGGAAAGACAGACAGAGAAGCAAGAAAAAAGGGGCCGGAGGGATGAACAGACAGAGGCTTAAAATAAGTAGTGGAGGTGGGGGGAGGAGGAGGAGGGGCCGAAGAAGAGGGGGGGAGGGGTAGGAAAATGTAAGGGGGCGCAATTAGTTTAGTACAGAATTGTAAAGGTAACGTCCCTCTAGAAGTGTGTTAATAAAGAATTAAAGCTTTCGTGACTGCATAAATTACTCATTGGTTTTTTCGGTAAAGTCACGTATGTAGAAATAAAATAAATCAATCACGACGTTTCGACCGCAACACAAGCGATCTTCATCAGGTGTAAAAAACATAGCACATAGGGTGACATCAACGCAACACATAGAGAGCGTTAAACTGCACGGAGGTAAAAACAACAAGAAGATGATGCATTCAACAAACCTAAGAAAAATGTGTTGAATGCTCGTCTCTCATCTTGTTGTTTTTACCTCCGTGCAGTTTAACGCTCTCTATGTGTTGCGTTGATGTCACCCTATGTGCTATTTGGTTTTTTACACCTGATGAAGATTGCTTGTGTTGCGGTCGAAACGTCGAGATTTATTTTAATATAATTTTATGGTATTTCTACATACGTGACTTTACCGAAAAAAAGAATGAGTAATTTATGCAGTCACGAAAGCTTTAATTCTTTATAAACAAAACGGCTACACGTTTCTGCTTCCAGGGTGGTGGCTTAGACAAGACAGTGCATTCTACATGCAACGTGGTCAAGTGACATGCGTGCTAGGCATGATGGAAATTGTGCCTTTTTTTGTAAATATAAGTTAGGAAAACGATTGGCAGTGTTCTGGCTTTGCTGGTTCTGGATCCAGAGTATCTCAAATAGCTGCGCTTCAGCCTCAGCTCCATGCTGGTTCCAGCAGCCCCATCTAGAGCCACAAAAACCCGTGATCGTGTCTTCACGCTAACAGCATCATCCTATGTTAGTTTGTAAAATTACTTGTATTAATGTACACTTGTCAGCTTAATGTGTTTTAAATTCTATTCTAGCGCATGGCAATATTTGCAAGAGCTAAATGCCAATGACTAAATGCCAATGACTGCTCGACAAGAGGGTTTCAGGAGAGTTAAAGTAGTTTCGCTATTCCATTGGAGGGCATACTACAGTGGTGTTACTATATGGTCTATAATTTTGTTTGCATTGCCACAATCGCACTGTGATTTTGTCCTAAAATTTCCGTTTATGAAGAAGTACGCAGCGGCCTGTTGATGTTCTGATGTCGTTGAAGCTAACACCAGTGTTTGCGAGGATTGTCAAAGCCAGGAGATGCAGTGTTTGGGTCTCGAATGAGGCGTTTATTCTGGATGTACGCAGTTTTCCACACTATGCCAGCGTTATTCTGAATTTTGTGTAAGATTCTAGGATTGTGACAGCGTGATCCCAGAAGGGGAATCCGAACTTGAGTTGGTGGCATGTGGATTGTGGCATCACGACACAGAGGGATGGCAGCGACGTGGGGACATGTCCAGTCTTGGAACACATTCCTGCGGAGGGAGCTGGTAGGAACGTTGGGTTGCTCGGTCAATGGCCAGGGTCAACGAGCGGCGTGGTGTATTCCGCAAATATGCCGGACTGTGAGGGTGGGCACAAGCCGGCGTGAGTAGTAAGGGCACCACGGGGTGACCAGCCCCACCCCTCCCAGCCCCACCCCTCCCATTGTTATATATCCGGGTGTCCGGACACACGTGGACAGACATCCATAGACATACACAATTAATCCCCTGCCTCCTGTGAATTAATCCCGGTTGGGCTTCCAGTCCACTACGTTTCCTACCAGTAATATATACCCCGTTAAGCTCCCACCTTAATACTACCAGTGACGTACACCTGGCGCGGCGAGGTTGGGGAGCTGGTCAAGGTCAATAGGCCATGACCTGCTGACCTTGACAGCCAAAGTTGTCCCCGCTAAGAATCGAGCGTTGCTCTTCCAATGAGAAGTTTCGATTCCTCGGATCGCACGCGAGGCGTCATGGGAGCTTGGCTCTCGGCGTGGGTCACGCGACCCGCCCTCGTGCGTCGTGACGCCCCCCCCCCGTGAGGTCACGTGGTCCCTTTGTGGGCGCGGTGACGTCAACATGCGACCCCTGCCCCTTCGACCCGAGTGATGACGCCCCGCACGCGTCGACGTCAAACGGCCCCATCCACGCGTGACGTCACGCACCCACGCGGGCAGTCAATGAGATCACGTCTGAGCAGCACAACGCGCTGTGTGGCGACGATTCCGTTTGCGAGATGACGTTTTCATCTATTGCGTGATGACGTAATAACGCAGTAACCATCGCGACGAATAACGTACGCGCCTGGCTTTATCCTGCGCTAAACAACCCCCCCTCCCCCCATCTTAGTAACTTCACCTTTACCACTGACTCCCCGTGACGTCACCCTATCTCCGCTCCCTCCCCGCGCGGACGTTATCCCACAAAACCTGCCTCGGTGACGTCATCCCGTACACCCGCCTCTTGGTAACGTCATTCCGTCACCACCCCCCCCCCACCGGCCTGTCGGTGACGTCACCCTGTCCCCCCCGCCCCTCGGTGCTGCCGGGCCGCGGCGGCACGGCCCGGGCATGGACTGCGATATGGATGTCGACCAGGAGCTCATGCAGAAGTTTAGCTGCATGGGCACGACGGACAAGGACGTGCTCATCTCCGAGTTCCAGAAGCTGCTGGGTTTCCAGCTCAACCCCGCGGGCTGCGCCTTCTTCCTGGACATGGCCAACTGGTGAGGGAGGGGTGGTGGTGGGGGGGGACGCGCGGGGCTAGGCCTGGCACTAGGCCTCGCTCGCCGCGCTCAGGCGCCGCGGCTCCCCGCGCGTAGCCGCCTCGCTCGCTCGCTCCGTGCTCGCTCCGTGCTCGCCTCGCGTCGCCCCCTGTGCTCGGCTCCTCAGCGGGGCGAGAGACGCGAGCTTGAGAGAGACGCGAGCTTGAGAGAGAGAGAGGCCTGGCCCTGACGCGGCCTGCTTCCTACGTCATTGTGTGGGAGTGGGTGGTGGTGGTGGTGGGGGTCTGGCTGGGCCTGCCCGGGCACAACAAAGTGACGAGCACGGGGGGCCGCGGGCCGTGCTGATGGGTGCCGTAACAACGCGAGAACCCAGCCAGGTTTTAAATCCCTGCTTACACGCGTACTGACGCTGCCAGGTGTATGGGGTCAGCAGAGGGACTGGTGGACCTACGCGGCATGTTTAACGTTGTGTTTAGGTGGTGACACGAAGCCTTACATGGTTACGTCGTGTTGTCTCGGTAATTTAATGTTTTGTTTGCTACCCACATTGCGTTACTGCACCACCCCCCCACCTCCCCGGTTTGTGATGTGTTTTTTTAATCGAGTTGGCACAAAGGCCTCGTCATCCCACTCCTGACGTCGGCACCGCTAATTCTGGTTGTTGTTTACACTCGGCCTTACTCGCGTGCGGGATCCCTATTGTGGTGGCACGGCTGTGGCTTTGCCATATCAGAATCTTTATTTATTGTGGAGGAAATCCGATGAGCAACGAAGCTCTTTTTTTCACGGATGTCCGGTAGGCGCGGGTCAGAAAGTTACAACGACAAACGATACAAAAATCACGAACAATAAATACAATAGATTAAGAATACAAGTTCAAATTGCATAAGTACACCATTTATCAAGCTTGGGCAAGGCAGCAAAACTACAATAAGTAATATTTCAAAATACTTTAAAAAAACACGCTTTAATGAAATGTACCGTACTCGTAATGGAAAAACTCCACGGCTCAGGACGTGGCACCGAAGCTTGCCATAACGTAAGGGACCATGGGCAATTACAGCCAACGTTAGTTGAGCGTGGACAATTAGACCCAAGCAGAAACATAACAGAAAAAAAGAATGTTTAAAAATATCTTTTTTTTATTTTTCATGATAGAATATAGTATTGTCATCAGTGACATAAGTATATCAAGTTTGCAGTCGATACCACATTGGGAAGTGGGTTAAAATTGAGTTACAAGATTTGAGGATACAACAACGACAACAACAACAGAGTGAGTTAAATAAAAGCGTGTAAAAACAATAAACAACAAAAACAGTCCCAGACCACACCAAGACAATATACACAGTCCCTCTATAAAATTGAACTATCGATGGGTAAGGATGAAGATTTATCTGATATTTCTGATACCGGTCCTCAAAGCCACACGTTTCACTTCGTTGCCTTTATCTGGTGTGTGAAATATAAGTTGTACTTTGTGGGAAATTCGCCGTTATCCTGCCAAGTAAGTCACCTCCGTCTATAAATATCGAATTTACACCATTGGCCCATCGTAATCATGAGGTGAGCTCTGGCCCGCGCTTATCTTAGCGTGAATTTACAGTGATGGAGTTTGTATTTAAATCACTTTAAAGTTAGACCATTAAGCCTTGTTATGCAATTGGCCACATCACAATAGGAATGCGTGTGATGGTGCGTTTCAACTACAAA